AGCAAAGGTATTCACATTGTCACAGAATTTTCAGAACCCCATGGAGTCTTGAAATGAATAATTTCACGCGTGAAATTTTTACCAATGAAAGAAAAATCTTCAAACAAATGCCATTCTGATAATTTACTATACTTTGCAAAATTCGGAATTCACATCATACTTCCAAAAGTCCTATTTGAATTTTTGTTTCAGTTGTATTGAGAATACTCGATATATTTAAAAAAATATGCATAAATTCAAACTAACTGCTCTCGCAGTTTCTAAAAGAAAAGGGTAAGAAGCCTCTGAAATTTATTCAGGATATCAGGTGAATGATTTATTAGACGTATACAGATTTCTGTTACTAATTTCGCGAAGCGAGCAGAACTCTGGTTTGTTTCAATTTAAAATCGGGAAACTCATTTGTCGGAACAACTGGAGGTTTGCGCGAAACACGGGGCGAATTGACGGTTAACGACGCTTTGCTTAGTTTAATTATTTTGTACACTGTGGGTTTCGCTTGAGCCGTTTAGATTATCTGGGAAACTTCGAGCGACCAACTTTTTCGTAGAGGCAGTAATTCTCGTCTGAATTGTTCAACTCTATTTAAACTCCAGTTAATTGGGGCTACGTGTTCTTCTGAAGATACAATGGAAATTAATTCACTTTAAGTTAATACGAGCTACACATACTTTTTTCACTGAACAAACTTAAATAAACCGTCGGGAGATTGATTCGACGAAGAGGAAAAAGTATCCTTCAAGAATCAGATTTGTATCTGACAAATCAGTAAACAACAGACCTTCTAACATACGAGGCCTGTCCAGAAAGTAAAGATACCGGTTTTCCAATAGTACCCTTAGGTTGTTTTTCAAACGTCAAATGTTTTCGACAATTGTCATTCATAACTTATTACAATTTTAGTCACGGAGTTGTATCTATGGTTGTAAAGCAACAGGACATAAGTGAACGAGTCCTAGGACACATAGGGGCAACTCGCGGCTCGCGGGCCGGAAATGGCCCGCGACTTCTTTTAGTTTGGCCCGCGATCCGTCTCCGCGAAGTCTTTAAATTTGGCCCTCTATGTACCGATCAGTATCGTGTTTCATTTTATAATTTTATTTAATATACTAGCCCTTTTTATTTAATATTTAGCCAAAGTTGTATGAAACACATAATCACGTACATCATTACATTGGAGACATTAATATATGAAGGAACCGACGAAAAAATATTGTGGGAGCCAACGGGAATCGAACCCGAGACCTTCGGCTTAGCAAGCCGAGGCTTTGCGCGCTACGCCAACCACTCCCTCTCTATTCTCCCTTGTCGGTTTCATATTTGGGTATGGAGGCCCCGATACTACATATATAGATACATAAAAACACGCGCGAAAACCCATTTAATTTGGTCCTTGTCTCGGAGAGAGAATGATGATTTGGGCCTAGAGCCAGGAAAGGTTGCCCATGCCTGTCCTAGAAGGTTCTCAGAAGAAAATGCATGGAAATAATTTCGAACAACCAGGTCTTCAATCAGCCTCAGCACTCACTCTACGCGATAAGCCAAGTCTTATCCATCAACGTTCCAAATATAGTATTCCGGGCTCTCTTCAGATCTCGTTAAGAAACGTACAAATTATCTCACCGCGATCCAAGTTTGCAACTCACCGCAAACCGACGCGAGGTACTGTGCGGTGCTCAAAAGTTTGCCCTCGGGGCGGCACAGGGGCAAGAAGGGCACTTTGCTCGCATCGCCTAAATCTCACGTAATGCAATTTTAAACGATTCGATTCGTCGATGTTATCGCGTTTGATCAATAATCACAATACGTGTGCCCTATTTCTACGATTGTGTTAGAAAAAGCGGGATTATGGAGATATGACCCAACCAGACCCGCATTCCTTCCATGGGCAAACTCCTGAGCTCTATACGGTAGGCGACATACATGAACCGTTTAATGCAAAAGTGGAGTAACTCAATTTTTTGCCTATTTGATTTGACACCACATCTCGAAAGCTCAATCTTCATTCTGTTTTGTGCAGAAATGGTGTAAGTATATCTTCGTTAGTTTCTCGGTGGATGTTAACCCCTTAACCTATGATTTCTTTTCTGACTACGCATCTAAGCGTCAGCCATTTTCTTTTTTAGTACTGCATCAGGTAACAAGAGCTAATTTTTTACAGGTTAGTTACATTTAGTAATCCTCAGTGTTGCAAATTAAAGCGAAAGATAGGGTTACAATTCATTTTTCTTAATAATATAACTATTTTTGTCGCAACCTGACCAAAATCTCTGAAACGAGTCTGACACGTTGTTATAGATTAAGGGGTTAAAATAAATAAGAACCACTCGAATGACATGGACGTTATATGCAGGAATGGTGCAAGTCAATCTTTGGTGTGAGATGGATCAAAGTGGATTTCTGGATTTCGAAGAAGAGGTGAACGATGAATAAGAGCTTAACGTTATCGCTATCCATGAAGGTTCTACGTCAAGCTCATTATTATTTTCCGATTTGAATCCATCGGAAATAAAAATTTGTTTCCATGTAAAACACATTTTATTCATTTTTTTAAACGATTTGTTTGGTAATTAATAAAGCAGTAAAAGCATAATGTCTACCTCAGCAAACAGATCCCTTCTTTATCACATCTAATAATAATTACCATCCTGGTTTGCACGAAAATGCAAGTCAGAAGGATATCGAATAAAATGATTATACATATACCTTGATTTTCGGGGCAAAATGGCATTATTAGCTTAAGGCAAAACTATACAATGTCTTACATAGAAGAGATGTAACATTCTTTCATATTACTGAAGTTTGCAGAACTTTTACTTTATCCCTCATTATCCAGAAATCAGCTTTTCTTACTTACACCCCTTTCGCATTAAACGACCCGTATAATAAGTCCAAGTTTATATTGAAATAAAGAAACCGACATTTTTCATATTAAAGTACACTTTACTGGAAAAAAAGAAAAACATTCTGAAGCTCCTATTGGAAAACCCTTTACGTTGCATCTAGGCCGCTGTGTCATAAAAAATTGGCCACTCCATTTAACCCTTTCGCTGAGGCAGATATTGCAACTTTTGTAAGTAATACTTTCGCTTATTACTTGGAATAACGAAGATATCTGAGGTGGACAGAGTTACGTATACGTAATAATATTGCAACATCTGCTTCTTGTTATCGCCATCTTATTCGTTCCAATTGTGTATCTTTAATTCTTTTTCTTTTTTTTTTTTTTTTTTGCATTTTTTTTTTTTTTTTTTTTTTTTTTTTGACCGATATTTATGTATTTTCTTGTTTTTGTTCATTGAAGTTAACGACAGACACTTTCATGGCAAATATATAAACTACGGAAAGAGATTAGTTAAACTTTAATAGTAAACCAGCTACGTAATCCACTATTCCATCGCGAATCTAAAGCATGCTTTAAAGATACACATACCAGGTAATGTTATTTAAAAGGAACAAACGTATATATTTGCGATGATATAAATGTCAACTTACTTTAAACCCTTTATACCATTCTTTTATAGTTGCTTCGTCGTATCTTGTGTGTGATTTAAGAAAATCCATATCTTCTTTGCTCAACTTGTCTTTGCTCCCAAAGCAACCCATTTTGCAATCTGTAACAATTAACAACGCATTCTTCTGTGATTATCAATTATTTTGTTTTCTATTACTACTGCTAAATTGATGTTAAAAGTGTAGTTATCGTTAGTATTAACAGCAGTGATCATTTCATCTTGTATATAATATATAGTGAACAATTTATGGAGGTCCATAGACCTGCTGTCCTGGAAAATATCAACAGTACCTCCATTAATTATTCACCAAATGGTAAACGTAATGGTAATTTCGCTTCTCGGGTGCCAAGGGTTAAAAATACTGTAATATTTTCATTTTGATTTATTCAACAATTATCTCGAATTTTCCAAACGAAAAGTGTTACATTTTCTCGTCGTTTTATTTTATTTCATCGATTCCAGGGAGCTTCCGAGTCGTCCCACGAGTGCAAAGGGTTAAATCATAATGCTTTCTACGTAACGGGTGTCCTAATATTAACGAACGACAGTGTATAGGCAATCCCAGTTAGGACCAGCCGTCCTTTGAGTCTGACTCCACCGACAAGGCGGCTGTTACGTTTGCTGAACCCGGAGAACTCTATTCAAGGGATGAAATTACTCTGATTTGCTGGTCGCGTTACCGCCTGTTTCCAAAGTTACAGGATAAATATGATAGAAGGGTAATTGTTAAGGATAAGTTAAACCAGGTTTACGATACGGACGCGACTCTCTGCTACTTTTGAGATTAAGGTTCGAATACGCGTTTAAAGCTTTCCTTATTATCAGGAGGGCTCCAAACCTCTCGTAAAAGCGGAGAATTTGGAGTTCCTTCATCTCAATAGCACGTTCTCGCGAGCGAGCGGTACCGTTACCCTGGGTTTTTCCCATAAACCCAGGTGACGCGTACTTCACGTAAAACATCCCCTCCTTGAGGGTGAGTGGCTGGAGTTGGTCGTTGACCAAGGCCCTAACTTGATTGGGAGTCTTGGCCTCGCACCCAAAACTCACTCCCGTCAAGGGACCCAAATGCAACATTTGGAAGTGAACAGGGCAAAGAGTCAACGAGACCGGGAGAACAAATTGAGAAGTAGAAGCAAAAAGTTCAGGCGATCACACAATCGCTACATCATCCATCGATTCTAGACGACGTGTCAGAATTGAACAGTAACATAAGAACAACGAATCCAAAGGGACACTAAAACTAAGTTTAAACGAAGTTTCATACAGCCCAAAGAACTGAACGCAGCAGCAACAGTGACAACCTGTAACTTTATCTCTGACGAAGTATCTAACGATGGATAAATGAACTCTATTAATCGAAGCAGCTACACCTCTTCTATTCATCGACACTAATTGGCACATCGTGCAAACACTTCAGCATCAACCCGATATTCCAACCGGAGGGAGCGCGTGAGACATGCCAACAAAGGAGATATATTAACTTTCTTACTTTTCTCCGACAAGGGGACACGCTTGCGTTCACGGGATATACAAAGTGGGGCGAAAGCTTCGTCCACCTGGAATATTTCCGTTATTTACGTGCTGTCATTTTTGCGTTTGTCTGTGGCAATGAAAATGAAATACAGCACGATAGTTTCAGTTCTATTGTAACTAATTGTACACTCAAAATCGTGTCGCGATGCTTGTTCGACCGGACGCGAATGTTTCGAGCTGCGCTCGCGACAAATTAACGGTGCGAGGGCTGCTTTTTAGGTTGAGGATGAATTGGTGAATGTTGATGTTAGGTTTAACTGTAATATATTTCTCTAACTATTAACAATTGCACTATTCTCCATTCTTGACGTATTCGCGGAGTACTTTTTGATGTGTCGTAGGCGTGTGTTTTTTGGCGAGTTCCTTTGGTGTGTCTGTGGTCGCTATTTTATTTACTAGGTGCGTGTTGCGATTGGTGATGCTGTCGTAGGTGGTGGAAGTGTGTGGTGATTGGTGTTTCGGGATGTTGTCAGATTTGCAGTGTGCAGTGTGTAAGACGGACACCAGATACATCTGGTGGAAGTCTTAGTGCCTTTGTTTAAAATAACGCGGGGAAATTTTGTCCTCACTTGACTATTTCCGTAGGGTGTTGTTAGAAATAATCCAACATTTTGAGTACATGTAACTTTCTAAATTGCATTTTTTTAAATATTCGATCCTTTTAGTGGATGGACATCATATTTTATATATTTTTCAATTTTAATATTGTGTAGAATGGTTCGAGATTGAGCAATATTTTACAGCGATGAAATAAATCGTACATTTTCATTTACCCCAGACGTTTGTGTTAATCGTCTAAAGACCTAAGTGATTAGGGGTAAGAAGACAGATCTTATACCATTCAAGTTTCTCTTTTACAATTTTCTTCTGCCAAATAAAAGATATAACCCGTCCCAAATGTGTGTCTCACCCTGTATACACTCCCGTTCGTAAGTATTAGGACACTTGCAGTGAATGTGAAGCATACTGAAGTCTATTGAATTCTACTCAAACTTGTTGACATCTATTGAAATCTACTGAACTCTGCTGAAATCTACCAAAATCTACTGAATTCTACTGAAAATCGCACTAAAATCTGTTGAATTCTATTCATATCTACTGTATTCTACTAATATTCATAGCTAATATACTTGTACAATTTTGAAACCTACGGAAATCTACTACGATCTACTGAATTCTATTAAAATTTACTGAAATCTACTAAATTTTACTAAAATCCTATATTTCATTAACCTAATTTATTTTACTATCTAATTTCACTAAAATTCTACTGAACTCTACTTACTGACTGTAAAGCAAGCCTCATTACAATTACAAGTTTAATATAAAATCATTTGACATACGAAAGTCATTACAAAATTATTAAGATCCAAAAAAAAAAAAAGATTCATTCAAGAATTTTCAAGTATAACGAACGTATATGTATATTTTTACTAATACACGACACTAACTTTGTCGAAGAAATGTAATTTCAATCTTACTTTCTACATAATGGGTGTCCTAATATTTACGAACGGCACAGAAGAATCGCAGTGGAATAGAATTATTTGCACAGAACGATGACGAAAAATCGTAGATCACGATCAAGCGTATTTCGATGACTGATACTACTTTTCAACATTCTCGTGTCTCACGACTCTAAGGACTTAACCCTTCGACAGTTTATTCCTCGTGAGACTCGGGCAGTGCGTTAAGTAACGAACAGTTCAACTCGAGAGAGACTTTTAGGAAGAAAGTTCGAAAGGGGCGAGATATTATTTTCAGAACTGTGACCTGGGGTTATGTACACTCTGCTTCAAAAGGAATCACACACACCACGTAATTATTAAAAAGATACGTTTCAAATATGAATTTTTACTGACTCTAATTCATAATGTAGGAACCTAGGGAAAAATATTGAGGGACCCAACGGGAATCGAACCCGGGCCCTTCGGCTTAGAAAGCCGAGGCTTTGCGCACTACGCCAACCACTCCCTCTCTATTCTCCCTTCGAGGTTTCCTATTTGGGTATGGAGGCCCCGATACTACACTCGGCCATTCTGAATTGACATTCGCCCTCGAATGTCCTAAGACTTCAACACCTCGACAAAACTCAACACTTTCGGGTACACTCCCTCCACACAGTGGCCACTCTTCTCAGCCGAAACTCTGTTTCTCAACTCTTTTGGGAGACGTGCACCCTCTCACATGTATTCATCTCACAGGTGCCTGGCTTCGTGTAGCCGTAGATACCTCCATTCCCGGAATAGCCCCCATTTGTAGGAATCTAGGGAAAAATATCGAGGGACCCAACGGGAATCGAACCCGGGACCTTCGGCTTAGCAAGCTACGCCAACCACTCCCTCCTCTGTATTCTCCCGTGCCGGTTTCCTATATTTGGCTATCGAGGCCCCGATACTACACTCGGCCATCCTGAACTGACATTCGCCCTCGAATTGTCCTCAGTGCAACCACAACTCAAACTCAACACTTTGGGGTAGGGTACACTCCCGCACACAGTGGCACTCTCTCTCAGCCGAAACTCGGTTTCTCAACTCTTTTTGGGAGACGTGCAAACCCTCTCACAATGTTTTCATCTCACAGCGCCTGGTTTCGTGTAGCCGTAGATACCTTCCATCCCGGAATAGCCCCCATTTGTAGGAACCTAGGGAAAAATATCGAGGGACCCAACAGGAATCGAACTCGGGACCTTTGGCTTACCAAGCCGAGGCTTTGCGCGCTACGCCAACCACTCCCTCGCTATTCTCCCGTATCGGTTTCCTATTTTTGGGTATGGAGGCCCCCCGATACTACAATAATTATATTAGACTGTCAAAGAGGTCCCTAGTCCCTAATACCCTATCTTACATGCAGACTTGTGTATTCCTCTTCGAATATTACAGTTACAACAGTATTAGTCGAAACTATTAATTATATTAAATCGTTCAATAAAAAAATTTGAATTTAGAAAGAAAGTTAGCTCTACGGTTCAATTAAACGTGCTACGTAAGCGTCAAGAATTTTCACGGGATATACTCGAAGGAGGGCAGAAGAATGATAAAACGAAATAAGATAGCAACTGTAAGATAGAGGAAGAGAGAAAGTAGGCGAACGAGCGAACGGACAAAAGAACGGTAAAGAGGGATGGAGAAAGAGAGAGAGAGAGAACGTTATCAAAAGCGCAAGCACGCGCAGAGTGGCGGAGACGTAAAATAATGTCGTAACGAGCGGTCGATACGCGGTCTGAATGAAGAGTTTCGAGAAAGGAGGCAGTCTTCGAACGAGTTGCTTCGTCGGTAGAAAGAGTTGCGTGCTCCATGTCCGAAGGGAGGAAGCCGGGGCAACTCGTGACTTGTTTTCTAATTCGGGTACTACCATAAACCGGTGTTAGAATATAACAGTCAGGCACAGCAACATACACTCGGTGAAAAAAGTGTCTTCGTACACACCTCGTGTCACGATTTATTTAGCGTTGCATAAAAGTAGTAAATGAATAATATTTACGTTACTTCGTTTAGAAACAACATTTACTATCGGTGCCAAGAAAAATTTATTTATTTACCCTTCGAGTTACACCGACTGCTCTT